GTGGTAGCGCACACCTGTAGTTCCAGCTACTTGGAAGGCTGAGGCGGAAGGATCACCAGAGCCCAGCGGATCGAGGCTGTGGTGGCCGGGAACGGCCACTGCACTCGTCTGGGCGACAGAGTGAGACTCCAACTCAAAAAATAAAAAAAAAATAAAAATAAAAATACATCAAATAAAATCTACAACATATAAATAGTTTAAAAGATTGACATACATTAAAAAAAAAAGAATTATTTAAGTCAACAAGGTTGAGAATAAAGAGAAAAATTAAAGACAGAATTTCCACCCATTGGCAGGGAAATTCTCTGGTCATTGGTTTAAAGCACCAGATATATCTCATAATTTCAATTTAATATTCTCATTCACAAACAAATCAAGTACAAACAATTGAAAAATGACAGCTGGCAGTACTACCTGGCAGTTTCTTTCCACTCATAGTCTTCCCCATCTCTGTAACACAGTTCATCCATTTCCGTGAAGAGATCATGGGGAATGTGTTCTTCATCATCATCTTCAGTACCAAGAATAAAATGAACTCTCTGGGATGGAGTGTCTTCATAAAATAAGAACATAAATATACTTAAAACTGCCCTCAACTCATCAAATATAAATCCAGTTTTGAAAGTGAAACACTTTTGTTACTGTATACGTAAATATATTTCATCCAAACTTTTAATTATTATTAAATTATTATAATTCTGAAAAGAAACAAGAACCAATAATCCAGGGGGGAAAAGAATGACACAGAAACGTAACCTCTACAGAGAAAAAAATAATATGTTAAAAATAAATAGGTCAAAACTAGGTTTATAACTCACCTTAAACAAACAAAAATAAAAATAAGCAACATCCCAAGACATTTTTTTCTCATCAAAAATGTATGAAAATGTTGGATCAAAATAGGTTATTTAACATGAAAGTTAAGTTCAAGACTGAAAAATAGTCAATCTCCAAGTTCTAAAAAATGAGAAAACTTAAAGCTACAAGTATATAGAAGCCGGCTTTTCCTACCATCACAGAGAAACAAAACTGTTAGCTGGTTTTGAGAGATAGAACAAGTCACACTCATGGCACCTGAAATTAAACTACTTATGTGGTACAGAAGTGCCAAACAGGGAAACAGGCAAAAATACCAGTCCAGGGCAGTTGAAAGCCTTAGGGCTCCATATAAACAAATAAACAAACAAATGCAACAATTAAAAACAAACCAACCAGTGTGGTGACTCACACCTGATTCCTAGCACTTAGGGAGGCCAATGCAGGAGGACTGCTTGAGCCCTGGAGTTCAAGACCAGACTAGGTAACATAGCAAGACCTTGCTTCTACAAAAAAAACTCATAAAGTTAGCCAGCTGTAGTAGCATGTGCCTACAGTTCCAGTTACTCAGAAGACTGAGACTGGAGAATTGCCTGAGGTCAGGCGGTCAAGGCTGTGACTAGTTATGACTATGCCACTGCACTCCAGCCTGGATGATGACATTGTGAGACCCCAACCCTCCCCCCTGCCAAAAAAGAAAAAAAAAAAAAACTGTTGGATATGAGAGATGGGTTCACACTCAAAATTTACATATAAGTAAATAATTCTCCAGGCATTTGTAGATGCAACAAACAGGAACATTAGAACCAGATAAAGAGCAGATTAGAAGGAACTGTTAAAAGAAGACCAAGATCTTAAAAAGATCTCAGAGAATGCAAAGGAGTTTCAAAGAAACAACAGGAACAACAGGTAAGGAAGTAGAAAACACAAAAGGTTAAGAGATATGGAGAAGGTCAATCAGAAAGAACTCCAGAAAGAGGAAAATGGGGGGAAAAAAGGCAGGGGAGAAGCATATGAAAAATATATCTGAAAATTTTCCAATATATATATGACCTGAACCTTCAAATTGAAGGAATACCCTAAGACCTGTGGCAAGGCAAATAAAAACACATTGAGATTGAACTTCCTAATGTTCTGAACTTGCAAACATTTAGGTATTACATATCTTGCGCCAGACTGATCCCATATAAATATAAAGTATATTATACATATAAGGTTTACATATAAACCTCATACACAGCAGCACCTTATACATATAAGGCATATATATATAGATGACACTGTGAAACTCAGTACCCTGTAGTTTTCACTACCTACATGATCCTGTATCTATGAATAAAGACCATTTCACTTTTTCACTGCTATCTGTACACTGCTTCTTTCTTTCTTGCCATCTCTCATTTTTCAACTGGCTTTACTTGACTTCTTTTTGTAAGAGAATGAGGCTAGGTATTTCAGTGCAGCACTGTGTAACTGGTGAGAGAGGAGATTCTTGCTTTCTTCTGAATCAGAACCCCAGTCTTTCATCATTAAATGTGATGCTGACTGTGGAGGTATTTTTTGTAGATAATCTTTATCTACAAAAGATTGAGAAAGTTTCCTTCTATTCCTAGTTCACTAAGTTTTATCATAAATTAGGGTTGAATTTTGTTAAAGGCTTTTTTTGCACTGATTTTATTGCTTTTCTCCTTTATACTGGTGGTTACTTATTTATATTGACAGATGTTTAAATCGTAAACCAACCTTACATTTTTAGCTAGGTCATCATGTTAGTTTCCTATTTTTGCTATAATAAATGACCACAAACCTAGTGGTTTGAACAAAACAAATTTATTATCTTATTGATACCAGTATGACATGGCTAAAATCATGGTGTTGGCAGGATTCATTCCCTCTGGAGGCTCTAGGAGAAAATCCAATCCTCTCACCTTTCTAGCTTCTTGTCTACATTCCTGGGATCAGGATCCTTCTTCACATCACTGTAACCACATCAATTTCCAGTCTAATCGCTTGACCTCCTTTTACTAAGGATGGCTGAGACTATATCACAGCTATTAACCTAATCCAGGACAATATTCCCATTTCAAAATCCTTAACCTAACCAAATCTGCAAAGTCCCTTTTGCCATATAAGGTAATACTCATAGGTTCAAGGATTAGGACATCAACACCTTGGAGGGCATTAATTAAACCACCACAGTCATGAAGTATTATCCTTTTAAATATTACTGGATAAAACCTATTTTTATTTGTTAAGGATTTTTGAAACTACGTTCACAAGAATATTAGTCTGTAGCTTTATTTTTCCTGTAACATATCTGTCTACCTTTGGTATCAGGGTAATGATGGATCATAAAACAAACTGGAAAATATTCTCCCCTTTAAAATTTTCTAGCAGAGTCCATATTATTTCTTCCTTACATATTTGTTTCAATTCATCCCTGATGCCATCTGGGAGTAAATTTTCATTGTGAGAATGTTTTAGACTACAAATTCAATTTCTTTGGTTTAGTCCTTTAATATATATATCTGCTTGAGAATTTATATTCTTAATAGAACTTGCTCATTTCATCTAAATTATCAATTTTGTTGGCACAAAGCCACCAATAATACACCTTTACTAGCCTTTTAATGTCTGTAGAATATATACTAACAACTACTAATACTGGTCATTTGTGGGGTTTTCTCCCTCCAGTCAATCTGACTATAGACTTATCAATTTTAAAAATCTTTTTTCAAAATACCAGATTTTGGTCTGATTGATTTTTGCTATTGTTTTTCTAATTTTTATTCATTTTTGCTTTGTTTCCTTTCTCTGGGTTTAATTTGCTTTTTTTTTTTTTGGTCTTTGTTTTTGAGTTTCTTTTTTTTTTTTTGAGTTGGAGTCTCACTCGGTCTCCCAGACTAGAGTGCAGTGGCTGCTCCCGGCCACCACAGCCTCGACCTGCTGGGCTCTGGCGATCCTTCCGCCTCAGCCTTCCGAGTAGCCAGAATTACAGGCATGCGCTACCATGCCCAGCTGATTTTTTGATTTATTGTAAAGATGAAGTCTCGCTGCCCAGGCGGGTCTCGAACCCGCGGGTTCAGGCAATCCACTCACCTCAGTCTCCCAAAGGCACAGGATTACAGGCTGATCCACGGAGTCCGGCTTGTTTTTGAGTTTCTTAAGCTAGAAGCTTAAAGTCACTGATTTTCAACTTTTCTTGTTCTTTATTAAAAGGATTAAATGCTACAAATTTTCCTCTAAGCATTGCTTTAGCTGCATCAAATGCACTTCAATATGTAGACAGACAGTCCTCACTTTACACAGTACCATGTTAAAAGAAGCCTGTACATATCAGAACCATATCCTCACTTTGCAAGATTCTATCTCAGTTACCTGCCTATACTATTCTTTCAGTGATTCAAAAACAGTCTCTAATTACTGTTGTGAATGCTTCTTCAACCCATGATTACTGACAAGTATTCCCTTAATATCTAAATATCTGAGGATTTTTCTCAGTACCTTTCTAGTTTAATTCAATTGTGATCAGTGAACACTTTCACTCCTTTTAAATTTATTGAGACTTGTTCTATGGCCTAAAATATGATTTACTTTGGTAGATGTTCCATTTGCATTTGTAAAGAATGTGTATTCTGCTGTCCCTAGGTGAACTGTTCTTCTATAAATGTCAATGTCAATCTGGTTGGTAGTTTTAGCCAGGTCTTCTATATCCTTACTTGTTCTGTCTACTACTGAGAAAGGAGAGCTGAAGCCTTCAACTGTAGCTGTGGATGTTTCTCTTTCTCTTTTCAAATTTATGAGTTTTTGCTTCATGCATTTTGAAGTCATTATTATATGTATACACATGCAGGATTATTACATCCTGATTTTGACAATTTGAATTTTCATGTGCCACTGCATGTTCTCTTCATGTCTCTTCTCCTTGAGTTTTGTTCAGTTCCTTGGATCTATAAGCCCACAGTTTTCGTTAAGTTTGAAAATTTTTCAACTTTTATTTCTTCAAATATTTTTTCTTTTAACCTCCTTTGGGGGGGTCCCTTCTTTCTGGGACTCTAGAAATATTTCTAAATTATTCATGCAAGACTGCCTGTTATTGTCTCACAAATTACTGATGCTCTATTCACTATTTTTAGTTGTTTTATTCTTGGTTTCATTTTGGATAGTTTCTATCTATCACTATATCTTCAAAAATATATGACTGCTTTTATTCCCCTTGCAGTAGTAAATACTCTGTTAATCCTAATCAGTCTATTGTTTATTTCTGATATTATATTTTTCCATCTCTGGAAATTCCATTTGGGGCTTTCTTATATTCTCAATATCTCTTTTTATCATGGTCTTATTTTACTTTATCCTTTTGAACACATGAACATACTTATTATAGTTGCCTTAATATTCTTGTTCTCTAATTCCATCAACTCTGTCATTTCTGGATCTGGATCCGATTCTATTGATTTATTTTTTTTCCCAGTTATGGCTCATATTTTCCGGCTTCTTTAGGAAATAATTTTTGGATACCAGATATTGCGAATTTTACATTGTCAGGTGCTAAATCTTACCCTATTTATTTTAGTAATATAATATTTTACTCTGGCAAATAGTTACTTGTCATTAATTCTCTTAAGGCCCGCATTTAAGAATTTTTAAGCAGATTTGCTGCAACTTTAGTGTAAAGCTAATCTAGACTCACTACTGAAGTAATGCCCTCCTAAGAACTCTGTTAAGTCTCAGAGTCTTTCCACTGTAAACAGATGAGAACACATACTATTCCCAATCTTGTGTGAAGTATGGAAAATGCTCAGCCTACCACTTTCTGGTAATTATTACCTAGGCCACAAGCAGTATCCCTCTCATACATGCTCAAACCAGTACTAAGCCAAGACTCAGAAGGACCCTTCTTCAGATCTCCGGAACTCTCTGGGTAGCTCTCTAGTCTCCCGCACACTACACCTCAAATTCTAGCCTCTCTGGCCTCCCCAAATTCCGATCTGTGCCTCCTCAGCTGTGAGAGTCTGCAGGGCTCTGTTGGTTTCTCTCCATGTGCCATGGTCTGAAAACTGTCTAGGCAATAATAAGCTCAGGCAATCAAAGGACTCATCTCCTGTGCTTTTCCTCTCTCAGAAATCAAAGTCCTGTGTAGCCTTTTGTCCGATGTCCAAAAACTACTGTTTCATATATTTCACCCAGTTTTTTAGTTATTTTAAATGGGAAGGTAGTTATAAACTTTCAGTTAAAAACTGGATAAATTCTGGGGATCTAGTATACAACATGATGAATGTAGTTAATAATACTGTATTGTACACTTAAAATTTGATAAGAGAGTAGACCTTAAGTGTTCTCACTATACACTATATGAAGTGATGATTGTGTTAAGTAGCTGGATTGGAGTAATCATTTCACAATGTATATATATATATATCAAATCCTCATGCAGTACACCTTAAATATACACAATTTTCACGTGTTAATTATACCTCAATAAAGTTGGAGGAAAAAAATCATGGAAAAATAACCAAAAAGTAAAAATAAGTTTAAAAATAAAATGGAGAGATTTAATCCCTGTTATTCCATTATGTCTAGAAGCAAAAGTCCTGTGCAATCTCTCTTCAGAGCAAGGGGAAGAAAGAAGAGACTTTACTTGTAGCACCTTCTGGGATAAAAATTGGTAGTTAAAGCCAAAACAAACCCACTTCAGGGACATAAATTCTTCCCAGGGTTGGTTATTCAATTCAAAAGTCAAATATTTCTTCATCATAATTTATTTTCCAAACCATTATACATAGACTACTAACCCCATACCCTAGCTTGAAATATGAAATCATCTTCCTTAGGTGAACATATAAACATACTTACAGTTTAGTAAACATTTCTGTCCACAAAAACATTGAGAACCTTTATATTCAGTAGGAACTAGGGAAGCATACTGATCACTCAAAGAAGAGCCTAGCATATCCTAAACTGAATGGGTACAACGTATGGAACAATACTTCTAAATTACTTAATATCATCAAAAGATGTTCACTTGTGACCCTTTCCAAATTCAAATTCAGTGTTCACTTTACTTTTGCTAGTTACATGAGACTGGTGTTAGCCACATGACCACTTACTATTTTACTAGCCCATTAAAATCTCTTATTAGAGGTTCTTAAAAGAGTCCCACCATTTAGCCTCTTGGAGCCAGTTTCCTAATCTATAAAACAAATATAGTAAGCTATCTTTTAAAAAACGCTAAGATGATTATATCTTTTAAAAAACGCTAAGATGATTAATTGTCAAGGGACTAGTGGAATGTTTCAGCAAGAACTGGAACTTTATATTTTACTAGGCCACCCGTATTTTCTTTCTTATGTTCATGTTATGACTAGTATTATACACACTAATTTTTTTGCTCCTTGTCTTTTCAAAAAACTTACCTTTAGCAAAGCACACAAGTGCCTGCCTGTATGGTTACAACTCACAGAGCTTTCTTTGCTAGAAAGCACATGCAAGAACCCATGGTGCACAGAAGGCCTTCAACTAAGGCTGTCCTGTATGTCAACTAAGCATCATGTTTAAGAATCATCCCTCAAAATGCACAACTGCTTTTTTTTGGCTCTCACCTTTCCTACTTTCAGTGCCACTTAAATCATTGCTATCAATGCTTATTATGAGAGAACATTCTCTTTCTTCCAATGTATGCCTTTTTCTTTCTGATTTCTACTGGCACTTCTATACTTCTCAGCTTTTAAATAATAAGCCTCCCCCCAAACCCCCCATCAACCCCCCCCAAAATCCCTGTCCTTTTATATAGCTAATACTATCAAATCAGAGCACTCTTTTTTTTTTTTTTGCATAGAAAACCAAGTAGTCTACCCTAGTAGATGAAATCTTCGGGCCAAAAAATTTGGTATAAAAAGGGAGAAAACATTAATCCCTTCTAGGATAGCCTAAGGATTCCCAATATCTATTCACTGTATACCTAAGTAATGAAATACATGGTAGAGAAAAGAAAATTAAACCCCACTAAACTTGAGGTTAAGTGACAAGGCCAACTTTTACAATTCTAAAACTAGAATACAATGAGAAAACAAAGCCATTTATTTTACTTTTATGAAGGAGATCTTAACCTTTAAACTAAAGATTTTTCTTATTAAAAAAAAAATTCGACTGTATTCTCCAATGTATATAATGTGTCTAAATTACTGTAGACATGGAATTTTTAAAAGGAAATATTTAATTAATAGAAAAAATATTTTCCAGGAAGAACCTTAAACTATGAACAGAGAACTACTGTTTTCCCCTACCATAAGAAGGAGACTCCCGTCCATCTTCTTTATCTGACTCTTTATCTTTTCTTTTTCGGTGGTGATGCTTGTGTCCACGATGCCGATGACGTCGACGACTCTCTTTACTAAACGGGACGTGAACACCAACATACACAGCTCTATGACCTATTAAGAGGTTCAGAAACATATTACCAGTTTTCCAAAAGAGAAAAAGGGGGATATACATAAAAGTACACCAAAATTTACTCTAAAAACAAAGAATATTTTACAAAGCATTACACAGAATATTTTGCCAAGGGCTAATACCAATGACTAATGACTACACAAGATATACAGGTTCCTTATGCAAGCATTCGTCTGCACATCTAAAAAAACGTTTTGAGAAAGAAGAGCTTGGCCCACCTGAAATCAAACTGTGTAGACATAAATTTATGTAATCTACACTTAAGGCCACCAGTAGCAGTTAGTAGAGGTCCTTAAGGGATATGCTTTAATGATGATAATTATTGTAATACATATAAATATTGGTAAATATTTATTTACTAACTTTTTAAAAGTTTAAAAAACCTTAAATCAGCGAGGTCCAAATTACTGAGGGCTACATTAAATGTAAAGCACCCAAATAAATGGAAAAGATGGTCAGACTGGATAAAAAAGCAATAGAGTAAAAGTATCATATCCCTTTTAGATTAGCAAATGTGACTGCTGATATTGCATTATCCTGACTCTGTATTCTAACAACAAAACAGTTATGAAAGGCAATCTCTGCTTTTGCCCAACAGATGAAAGCGAATCTAGGGGAACCCGAGTGAGCAGCACTCTGTCAAAATTGAGAGCCATGAACTTCATTTCTTAAGTAGCTTAAATGAAGTTCCTAGACATGGACTACAAGGTCAACTAATTTGCAACTACACAAAAAACATCTAGTATAAAGTTGCTTTTTACCCTTGTGCACTAATAAAAAAGTAACATGCTGAAATACAAACAGATAATGACATTCTTTCCCTAAGAATTTCTGTAAGATGGCCAGAAAATAAATACTTCAAGAAACTCAGGATCTTCATCCATAGATAAGATTTGAAAGAACAACTGATCCTCACTACTCCTGGATTCTGTATCTACGAAGTTGCTGACACACACTAAAATTTACTTGTAAGCCAGGCTCTGTGGCTCAGCCTGTAATCCTGCGCTTTGGGAGGCTGAGGTGAGTGGATTGCCTGAGCCTGCAGGTTCGAGACCCGCCTGGGCAACTTGGTGAGACCTCATCTCTACAATAAATCAAAAAATTAGCCGGGTGTGGTAGTACGCGCCTGTAGTTCCAGCCACTTGGAAGGCTGAGGTGGAAGGATCGCCGGAGCCCACCAGGTCGAGGCTGCAGTGGCCGGGAGCGGCCACTGCACTCCAGTCTGGGCAACAGAGTGAGACTCCAAACTCAAAAAAAAAAAAATTTTACTTGTAATCCCCAAATCAATAATTGTAGTGATTCCGTGGCCATTTGCGAACATGCACAGAGCAGCATAAAATTTGAGTTTCCTGATATTCACATTCCCAGCTAAGGCTGATAAAGGTGACACCAACATCTTATCATAGCTACCAACATATTAATGTCAGTAAATAATTACCTTTTCAATTAAAAGAGAAACAGACTTATGAGAACATACTTTTAACTAAAATGATTTGCTCAAACATCTCCCAGCACCCATCAGTCGGCCTAGCACATGGTAAGCACTTAATAAATGGATATAGAAATTAAATCTCAATTATCTAGCAAAAAAAATCCAGATGTTAAAAACTAATTATAGAGCCAGGCTTGGTGGCTCAGCCTGTAATCCCGTGCCTTTGGGAGGCTGAGGTGAGTGGATTTCCTGAGCCCGTGGGTTCGAGATTCGCCTGGGCAGCAAGACTTCATCTCTACAATAAATTAAAAAATCAGCCGGGCGAGGTAGCGCACGCCTGTAGTTCCAACTACTTGGAGGCTGAGTCGGAAGGATCGCCGGAGCCCAGTAAGTCGAGGCTGCGGTGGCCGGGAGCGGCCACTGCACTCCAGTCTGGGCGACGGAGTGAGACTCCAACTCAAAAAAAAAAAAAAAAACTAATTATATACGGTTTCTTTTTGAAATGATTGAAATGTCTTGGGAATTAGAGAGTGGTAATGGCCGTACAATATGGTGAATATACTAAAAGCCAAATAATTGTACATGGTGAATTTTAAGTTATGTAAATTATCGCAACATAAAAAGTTTTTTTTTTAAAGTATCAAAAAACTCAGTAATTTCACAACTTATTTTAGTGAAACTATTTCTTTCTGAACACCAAGAAAAGTGGAAATTAAAGAGTCAAGTTCCCAACACTGTGCACTGGGAATTACAAAGTTGTTACTCCAATTAGTACTAATGGGTCTTGGCATACAAGCCCCAAAGCACCAAGATAAAAATAAATTCTGAGTTTGCAGTTTAGAAAGGCTAGATAAAATAAATAACAATACACTAAAATCCAAAGATTGGGAGATTAAGTCTTACTGCTACTTCTGCTTTTATTATTGGCCTTCAGTGTCCTCTGCAACAATTTTTTCTTTCCTTTTTCTTTCCCCTTTATGCCATCAAAAGCCTATTCGCACAAACTCGCTGAGATAAACTTAATCTTTCCCTCAAACTCGATACCAAAATGTAGATGAGTACAAAGTACACAGAGCCAAGGGGACCAGGGTCACCAAAGGAGGCCAAGACACAGTCAAGAGCCTCCTTCACATTCCAGGCCACGTATATTGAGGGTTGACCAACGGTTAAGTAATGGATTAAATATATCATCGTACATTTGAAATAGCAAAATTATTGCTAAAAATGTCAACCTTCCCAACTACTGTAATTTACAGAATCTAACCACAAGTTTCTAGATAACTGAGGTTCTTTCCAGAAGCCCTAGGAAATCTAGTCTTTTAAAGTCCATTTTTTACATTAAGAAAATCTCAGCATATAAATGAGGAGAACTCTAATCAGGGTCTCTTCCCATCTCCTTCTTAAAACAACAGTACTAGCTCTCTCAGAAGATTTTAACTTAAGGATGTAGTTCCTAAAAAGACCACCCAAAAAAAGTCTCTCAAAACATTTGCCATAAACACCATGTTAACCAAGAATTTGAGGTCAACTCCATCAAAAATAAGTCATGTTCATAAGTGTCAGGGTCATGAAAGACAAAGAATGAGAAATGGTTATAGATTAGGGGAGACATGACAACTAAAATGTAGTGTTAGATCCTGAACTGGATCTGAATCCTGTAACAGAAAAAGTCCATTAGTGGGAAAAAAGAAAAACAAAAAAACCGTGAATTCTGAATAAAATCTATGGTTTGATTCATAGTTAGCTACTAATTAACCAAATTTTAATTAAACTATGCAATGTGAATTTCTTCACTTTCACAAATGTATGACAGCTATGCAAAATGTTAACATCAGAAGAACCTGGGTTAAGTTTATACAAAACACTCTGTATTATCTTTGTAGCCTTTCTATAAATCTAAAATTATTTCAAAAAGAAAGAAAGAAATAATTTGCCAGGACTTCTTGCCACTTAAGGAAGAAAGACGGGCAAATAACTCACAGTTGCTCCACAATTCTACATGAGGTTACTGCAGCATTTTAAAAGGATGATGTAACAGACCTATAAATGAACATTTAGATGATAACTAGTGATAACTGTGGCTTATTAGTCTGGCACTCTAGCATACTCAAAATACAAACTACCAGCCTGCTAGAAATAAAAAAAAATTTAAAAGAACTAACTAATTTTGTGACTGTGGTCTTTAAGTTTTCCAAGTTAAGCACCTAATAGTAACCATCACTAAAGTTTGAAAAGCATTCTGAACTCTATCTTTTGCCAATACTTTTAATAAACAGTAAATAATCAGGGAATGCTCCATTTCTAGACATGGTGGTGGCTACATGGGTGTTTGCTACACTACTATTCTTTAAACAATACTCACAAAAGTGTCAAGCAGTTTTCTAAATGTATCCTTTACCTCATAACAACAATATTTTAACAGATAGTAGGTAAAACTTAACTCTATGCACTGGGAGACATTGCAGTAAGGGGATCACTTACCAAGTCCACTGCCCTTTTTCACAGAACAGTAAAAAATTAATCACTTCATATTAAACTGTGGCACACTAAACCAATTATCTTATTGTAATGATATCTGGTTATAATGGAATTTTGGACACTGAGGAACTTATTTATGACCCCCTAAAAATCAAACTTTCATATCTTATATTTTTCTAGCATGTGGTGACATGTGATACATTCACAGATATGCATTGCAGGTTCGTTGATACATATTGTGCAATAGTAATTAGTTTGACGTCTTCCACCTGGTGTTCCTCTATTTGAGCAATGTAGTCTTGTTTTCTTCCTCCCACATTAATAATATGCAATGTATTGTCCAGTCTGTTGTTCAAAGATGTGGAAGAACACACTAGTGATTCCTGAAAACCACTTTTCAACTGATCAATCATATCAGAGTATATATTCCATCTCTTTGCTTTTTCATGCAATTTGAATGGAAAACTTCAAGGAAACATACATTTTTTAAAAATCTGCATTTGCATAACTTTGTCCTGTATAATCACCGGCAACCTTTTTGTGTCCCTTGAAAGGGGACATTCGTGGTTTGCTAGATTTACGATGTCACCTCAGAGGAGACATCTGAATGCAAAGAGTTAAAGGATACTAACAAACATTAATTAGTAATTTATCCTGCTAAGCATAGTCAATTATTTTAAATGAACTTACTTTCTAGTTCTTCTTTTTCAAACTTGGTGTTCACAGTTGAGCTAGTTTTGCCCAGATCCACAACAGCTTCTTCATCGGGACCCTAAAAACAAATTACTCTCATTTACTCATGAGATCAAAATATACTAAGGACCTACTATGTGCATTATTTGAAATGGCCAAAATATATAAAATAGACTGCCTTGTTTCAAAGAGCTGAATTCTTATTAAAGCTAAGTTCATTCTTTTAAAAATGTTTATGGGCCTTTTTTTTTTTAATCCACAGGCAACAGTTTGAAAATCCCATAGTAAGAATTAAGATGAAAAAAAGAATTAAGATGACAAAAACTTTTAAATGGTTTTCTGTGCAACTTACTAAATAATTGGGAATATACAGAGACTTCATCCTCAGTGGAAAGACCTCCCAGGACAAGAAATTAAAGAAAATCTGATGTGAGGAGAGCCCTCAGATGTCAATATGAATGCTCTTTCTTGATTTTTGCTCTTAGGTCCTCTAAATAAAGGGAAACACTTAACTCAGCTATATTGGATTGGATTATGATTAAACATAAAATTGTTACAAATAAGTAGTTCGATATGCAGTACCACTTTCACTTAACCAAGAGCCAACAAAAGTTGTAAGATCTTTTTTATTTCTCCCACAAAGTAAAATCCATGCCAAAATTCAACTCTATGAAATTCTAGTTTACAGTTGTGAAAAATCCCACCTTTATAATTTTATTCCTTTCTTCAGCTCAACAAAAAGACTAAACATATTTATGGTAAAATACCACACATACATTTTTAAAAGAATAACATTTTAAGCTTTAACTTTGCTTCTCAGCTTCTAATAACTTTCAAAAAGTTATAATCATTATTAATTACTTATTATAAACTTAATGCATAAGATGCTGTGCCACTAACAGAGATGGATGAACAAAGCCCCTTCCCTCAGAAAGTCCTTAATCTTGGCTGGGCATGGTGGCTCACATCTATTCCCAGCACTTTGGGAGATCAAGGCAGGAGGACTACTTGAGCCAAAGAGTTTTGAGACCAGCACGGGCAACATGGCAAGTCTTCCTCTCCACAAAAAAAAAAAATCAAAAAACTAGCTGGGCACGGAGTCACACACTTGCAGTCCTAGCTACTCAGGAAGCTGAGGTGGAAGACAGCCCAAGCCCAGGAGGTTGAGGCTGCAGTGAGCCTTGACCATGCCACAGCCCTCCAGCCTGCATGACAGAGTGAGAGCCCAACTCAAAAAAAAAAAAAAAAAAAAAAATTCCTTCCTATCCACACTACCACTATCTGCTACCCAAAACTCAGAACCAAACATGGTATATCAGAAAATGCAAATCATTTGATATCCACACTTACTTTCTAAAGGCTAGATATCCAAACTGTAAAGTCAAAAAAATTTGGACAGCAAGAGGTACGTGTATATGACTCTGAATTACTGGTGTTCAATTTAATTCAAGCACTCAGAAATGAATAAGTACTTGCTAAAGTTCCATATTTAAAGGAGTGGGAGCAGGCTGTGTAGACCATAAGAGAATTTCATATAATGAACTAAGAAGACAGATGACATAGGTATGGTTAATCAAACTGTCTCACAGCAGTCATACTTCATATTAAGGAAAGGCAAGTACGAAACCAAACCAAATTAAGCCATATTTCAAAACCTTTGGTTCTCCTCCAATGACGTCACATCATTTAGTCCCTGAACATGCACAAGTACAAAAGTAAAGCTCTCTCCTATGTGAAAAGACAGAAGTTGTATCCTGAGAGGCAGCCTATTCTAAAAGGGATTAACTGCTACCATTCCAAACTTTCACAATTTAGCTTGCACAATTGCCAGGATATGAAGCAAAACAACACACTTAACTCTCACCTGCATATAACAACAAAAAATAACCTTTTGCATCTATGCAGCTACTTACATGTTTAGATGTACTAACGACACTCAAAAAGACCTTACCCAGAGAGAGCAGTTCTCACCAGACACCAATCCTGCTAGCACCTTGATCTAGAACTTTCCAGCCTCCAGAACCATGAGAAATACATTTCTATTAGTGACAAATTATCTGTCTGTGGCATTTTGTTATCACACTAAGACAGGTCGTGAGGCAAAAGTACAGCTAGCACGGTCCAGGAATATAAAGGAAACCAGTGTGACCAAAGAGGAAGGAGCTGGCAATAAGTGGTCCAATATGGTCCCCACCAATCACACGTGGCTACTGAGCTAACCCTTCCAGTGATGTGCTATGTGTAAGAGACACCCCTGATTTGGAAGGCTGTGCATGAAAAATTACCAAAAAAAACTTATACTGATTACATGTTGAATTTTTACATTGGTTACATATTGTTGAAATGTTTGTGACATGTTAAACGCAATGTCATTAAGTTAATTTCACTTAAAAAAAAGCTTAAGTTATACAATCTCACAATATTAGTGTTTACTTTATATTACATTTATATTATATGTTACTATTATTTATTATATTTAATTAAAATATACATACTCTTCAACCTAAGAATCTATCATAGGAAAATACTCCCACATGTGCAAAAAGTGACATGTTATAAAAAGGATGTCCGTGGCTACCCAACCCTCTTCCATAGACACTGTGAAACCTTGAGCAAGGCACTGAACTTCCACTTTCATTGAGGCACTATTTCTAATAATTAAAAGAGACCAAAAAAATGCATCAATAGTAAGAAGGCAATCTCATACTTAAAGGAGCACTATGAAACAGCCTGAAAAAAACAGATCCCCCCAAAATGAAAGTAGATCAATGTCTTGATAAGAAAAGATCTTAAGGATATATCACTTAGTGAAAAAGCACATTGTAGAAAGTAAAATAAGATCAGATTTATGTTAAAAATACTTACAAGACTAAACCAAAATTTTATTTCCATATTTACATGTTTCCGTAAGTATGAATTTATATTAAGTAAAAAGCAAGGGAAAAGGCCTGATGGATCCACACCAAATTGTTTGTTTTTTGTTGTTGCTTGTTTGGGACTTTGTTTTTGTTTATGAATCAGAGTCTCACTTTGTCTCCCAGGCTGGAGTGCAAGTGGCATGCTCATGACCACTGCAGCCTCAACCCGCTGGACTCAGGCGACACTTCCACCTCAGCCTTCCAAGTGGCTGCTCCTACAGGCTCGCGCCATCACACCCACCTAATTTTTTGATTTACTATAGAGACATGGTCTCACCACATTGCCCAGGCTGGTCTTGAACCCCTGGACTCAGGTAATTCTCTCACCTCCACCTCACAAAGTGTTAGAATTACAGGCATGAGTCATCATGCCTGGCCACACCAAACTGTTAACTGCTCACTTTGGAAAGGGAACTGGGTTTGAATGAAAGCCAATTCGGATATTAATTTATTGTTATTGCTTCAGTTTTCAATGAGAATGTTTTCATGTGTAACTTGCATAACAAGCTACAGTTAAAATGTTTAGGTCTAAAAAATGCACAGCCTTAACACTGTAAAAAAAAAAAAGGAGGGGGGAGAAGAGAGGCAGACATCTCCAATTCTTCCTTCCCTCACAAAACATCACCTACCTAAGTCAACAACTGTGAAACATGAATAAGGTAGACTCTGCTGTAAATGCAAACATTAAGTGGACCACACAAATTGGTCATTGTGATACATGATAAGTAAACAAAGTATGCAGCAGTGTACATACAGATATATACTGAAAATCCCTTAGAACAAAGCCATTTGGGGTAGGGAGGGGTAGGCACTTCTAAAATAGGAGTGCGTGGTTTCAAATCCTATCATTTTAGAATAATGCTTTAGGCTATATTTCTTAACATAGCCTGAGTTAATACACCATGTAGAGTGTAGAATACAATTTTGTTTAAAGTACAAATAAAATGTATGCACATATTGAATATCTGTAAGATGAAACATCAAACTGCTCATATTCTCTCACACTGATGAAAACCAGTGGGGAGAAGCACAGAGACAATCCTGGAGTGTTGAATTTTCTGTCACAAAAACATGCTTCACTATTTTTTTTTTTTTTAATTTCCTTGGGGAGGTGGGTCTTCTTTCTTTCTCTCTCTCTCTCTCTCACTTTGAATAAACTATATTTTCCAATCTAAATAAGAATTGAATCTGCTAAAGTCAGTTATCTTAAAATTTCCATCTAGAAAAGACTACTCTTTCTCACTTTTTACCTCCAAGAATATAATGGAAAACTAAAAATAGCAACAGCAAAGAGCAATCTCTGACATCAAAATGTTTTATTTCTTAACCTTAGAGGAATGAGTCATATAGACCCTGCTTCTAAACTTTAATACATGTAAGAATAAAAAGGCATTCAAATTAACTCAATATGGGATTTATTCACTCTCATCTTCGATTACTTAGCCTTGGTTTCAAAGCTTTATTTATAAACTAAGGTATCTATTCCTACTACCACTGCACTGTAACTTAGAAGGCAACAGATTTAATAATCATTCATATAAGAGCATAAAGAAAACTTAAATTCTCTGTATGAGAAATGACACATGTACAAGGTTATTTACTGCAGTATCGCTTGTAATAGGAAAAGACTGGAAACAATCAAAGGGTTCCTTAACAGAGGAATGGCTAAATTATGGCACGTGACCCAAAGCAAGCTACTGGGGGGGGAAGGACACTCTTTACATACTGGCATGAAAAATATCTAAGACCTATATCAGATGAAATACAGACAAGGTAGAGAACATATAAAGTATGCTACCTTTTGTGTAAGAAAGCCTCAGATTAGGAATATTTGACTTTGCATAATGAAACACTGGAATGATATACAAGAAAAAAGCAAAACTGTTTACCTGTGGTAATAGAGGTAGACCTCTCAATTATTTGTTACATTGCTTTGATTTATTTAACCATTGAATACAGAGATAGATTTAAGTGTATAAGCTTTTGAAAGTCACTTCACCTACCAATCAAAGTGTAATATTTACCTTCAAGAGATATGGGACAGTAGGGCACAGTGGCTCACGCCTGCAATCCTAGCACTTTGGGAGCCCAAGGTTAGAGGACTGCCTGAGCCTGCGGGTTCAAGACCAGCCTGGTAAACATGGCAAGACCTCGTCTCAACAATAAATCAAAAAATTAGCTGGGTGTGGTGGCACACACCTATAGTTCCAGCTACTTGAAAGGTTGCGGTGTAAGAATTGCCTGAGCCCAGCAGGTCCAGGCTGCAGTGGCCAAGAGTATCCCACTGCACTCCAGCCTGGGCAACAAAGTGAGACTCTGACTCAAAAAAAAAGAGCTGTAGGACAAGACACCACATGTAAGTGCCAAGAATAGGTGCATAACCCACCTATGATGGCTATGTTTCTACTCAATCTGATTAAGAAAAATACATTATTAAATTTTTCTATCAGAACACTCTCATCTACCACGTAAGTTTAAAACTAGGTTAATTAGAGAAGTCATTACTGAAACAAACAGCTATTAATTTCCTAATTAAAATGGATGTGAAGAATAAGATTTAAGATGTATCCTAAAATAAATAGTATTACAGTTATATAGGAGAATTATTCTTAGGAAATGCATACCTAAGTATCTACGGTTAAAATGACAAGATGCTGTAACTAACATTCATACCGACCTAAAAATGTACTAATTTATGAGATTTTTAGATTTTTATGATCCAATCTAAACTCAGACACACAAAGAGAAATTTTTTTTTTTTTTTTTTTTTGAGTTGGAGTCTCACTCTGTCGCCTAGACTGGAGTGCAGTGGCCACTCCCGGTCACCGCAGCCTCGACCTGCTGGGCTCCGGCGATCCTTCCACCTCAGCCTTCCAAGTAGCTGAAACTACAGGCGCGCGCTACCACACCCCACTAATTTTTGATTTGTTGTAGAGATGAGGTCTCGTCAAGTTGCCCAGACGGGTCTCGAACCCGCGGGCTCAGGCAATCCACTCACCTCGGTCCCCCAAAGTGCTGGGATTACAGGCTGAGCCACCGAGCCCGGCCTACAAAGAGAATTTGTTAACATTTAGTTTGCCTTCCTCTGTGCCAGAGATGCTGGTTTAATAGAGGAAGGTGGAGCCTAAGGATCTGTATTTTATAACTTCTCCATATGATCGTGGTGCACATCAAAGTTTGAGCATCTTGTCTGTGGATATAGAGACAAGTATTATATCTTTTTTTTGTTTGTTTTTTTTTGAGTTGGAGTCTCACTCTGTCACCCAGACTGGAGTGCAATGGCCACTCCCGGCCACCGCAGCCTCGACCTGCTGGGCTCCGGCGATCCTTCCGCCTCGGCCTTCCAAGTAGCTGGAACTACAGGCACACGCTACCATGCCCGGCTCATTTTTGATTTGTTGTAGAGATGAGGTCTCGTCAAGTTGCCCAGGCAACTTGAGGTCTCGAACCCGCACGCAGGCTCAGGCAATCCACTCACCTCGGCCTCCCAAAGTGCTAGGATTACAGGTCGAGCCACCCAGCCCAGCCAAGTCTTACATCTTTAAACTGCTCTTCAACAGAAGCTGTTCCATGCCCTTCATCATTTCAGTGGTCATTCCAGGAACTACTCTCATTTCATTTACATTGTTTTAATACTTAAGAAAATAAAATCTTCATTCCAGTTCACAAGAAAGCATTGTAAGCTACTATAAACTTTCAGTGTAATGCAAGCAACCTAAATCAATAGTGCTCTACAAGTTATTTCTGTCAGAATATTTTCCCCAAAATGCCTAGGGCAACCTATCAAAGCATATTTAAACAATGGCCCAAAAATAAAAAATTATATTAAAAAAAAAAGTTTCCCAAAATGACAATTTTTCTCCAAACAACCTCAAACCACAACTCATCCTTTCCCATCAGCAAAAGTTGAACTTAAACATTAGAAAACCTTAAATTTACAGAAAAAAACTTTAAGAGAAAGGCAAACAGTATTTTATAATCCAGTTCAAGAAATAAATCAATGACTACTGTTTCACAAACTAAAAAGCCAAAGAATGATATGCATAGTTTCTGAAGAAGTCATTTGGCTTTTGTTTGTTGATTCATTAACTCTAAAATGAGCACAAAAAAAAAGTAAAGATATACTGAAAAGATATTACAAATTTTAATAATCATGTGATTCCCACAGAAAAAATTAAAAAGCCTTGGGGAAAATGCTTTTTCCCCAAGACAGCAAGAACTGTATAAACTCAGACACTGAAACAAAAAGTTTCAGAAATTTTTATTTCAAATATAATGGTAGTAACTAAAGACAATTTGAATTTGAAGAAAAAGTTTCAAAGGGGAGGAAAACTGAAGAAATTGAAGAAAGTAAGATCACCACAACTCAAAGAGGTGTGATGCCTTAAACTGACAGGTTAACAGCCTCTAGTGAAGAGGATTTGGGTAGTTATTGTCAAGTGTTTCATCACAAGACACAAGAGTCAGACAAATGGAAAGCCTCATCAGGGTTGTACATGAAATTATAAATCATAAATATTTATTATACTATTTCTATAAGGCGATGCACTCATTCCTAGTTCTAATCATACACATACACACACACACACACACACACACACACACACAGGAATTCCTTTTTTTAACCTATGAAGTATGTATAAGTTTATTAGCAGAAATGAGATTTTTAAAATTTATTTCCAAGACCGGTTGTTTTTATAACTATCCCTGACTTTATGAACAAATAAAATGTATAGAAAAGCAAAGACAACTGTAGGGGGGTGGGGGGGGTGAAGGAAGATCAAGATTCATTAAGTGCTTTGCAGCAAAAAGGTCCAGTAGGTTTTCCACCAAGATCCCCCTCTCCAATCGGTGTGAGGTTATCATTAGCTGGGTATTTTTAAGGTTATACCATATTTTTCTACTGAAACCCAACATGAGTAAGGAACTTTCTCAGCTATATGGTCTGTTTGGCTATTCTTCTCCTGAATAATAACTCTGTTCCCCAGGAATCCTATGTGTTCACAAGGATTCGCTAAGTGGGTCCAATATAAATTTTTAGGAGTGTCTTAGCCTTGGAAACATACTGGACATTCAACAAGTGTAGAGAATTTACCAAGGTACCAGGTTCTGCTTGACACTGAAAATATAGCCTGGGAGATAGCAAGTAGTTACAAAAATATGTAATATGGATCCTGAAAGAAGTCTCATTTCCTTAAAGACTAGGAACTAATAAACTCATTCATTCATTCAATAAATATTTGCTGAGTGCATTCTATGTGCTGAGCATTATTCCATATCCTGGGTACACAACAGTGAAAGAAAAACTATAACACAGTCAAATGTCCAGCTTATCAGTTAATTTACAGCTAAGACGTGACTCCCTATAAAACAAAAACCGGTAGTCAATGAATTATCTTTTCCCTTCCTAATGAATAAATAAGACCTTACAGTCTCATAGATTTGAAAAGGGCTATGCTTTTCCAGTTCAACATTCTCATTCTTTAGATTAAAAATTTTTTAAAAAGAGACACACAGAGCTTAAGTGACTTGCTTAAGATCACACCGTTACTTGGTAAAACAACTAAAATTAAAAGTTAGGTCTCTAAAGTACCAGTCCCATAGGTTCTTTATTCTTCCACTGTCTACAGAACAAGGTCACTGTAATACACTGAGAACATACTGTATTTTTTTCTTTATGGCATTCATTTATTACATATTTCTGTAACTACTTGCTATCTCCCAGGCTATATTTTCAGTATCAAGCAGAGCCTGGTACCTGGGTAAATTCTCTAATACTTGTTGAATGTCCAGTATGTTTCAAAGGCTAAGACACTCCTAAAAATTTATACTGGACTCACTTAGCGAATCCTTGTGAACACAAAGCTCTAACAAAGATAGGTGCTCAATATTTTGAAATTTAATAAATCAATTCACATAAAAAAATCAAAATTCAATTCAAAATGGGAATCCCAGCAAAATTAATCAAGTCTAGTCTTGTAAGGAACAGATTTTATACCTTTATTGACACATTTTACTAACCCCTTTATAGTCATTTATCTTGCCTGAAAAAGCAAACTTCACAATTTGTATTTCTCTTGGGTCAAGTTAACAAAATGACACTTAACATGCAAAAATCGTATTATTAGGGGAAAAAAAGAATGCTAATAGAGTATTTAAAAGCACAGCATAAGCCTAGTCTAGTAACCTGACACTCTGAGGCTTACAAAATCAATTAAAACTGCCATCAGAAATCCCTATCACAAATCAATTTTTCCATTATACAAGACATATGGTTATAGCTCAAAAATAACACATCCCATAAATTATGACTGTTAACCATATAGAGTAATTTCAGTTATCACTTTAGCTTCAAAACATACTTAACAAGATAAAGTGATTTATTTCCTAACACCTTAGTCAAGTAATTTGTAAAGGCTCATTCGAAGAACATTATCAGTCAAAGAACTAATTTTACAAAAGAATAAAGATGCTACAAACATTTCTAACTTTATACAAAAATTTACTCTTCAGCAGATGACTTCCACTGCCAAGGACACAGAGGATGATACTATTCTAAGCCAGAGCTAATAAGCCTGACATTTCTTCAAGCTCCACTATTAAACTATGAAAGAGTCCAATTTGTTTGTAAATAAAATATAAGATCTTAACTATGTACTAGGTACATACAGGTAACTTCTTCTCCGGACGAAATCTTTCCATAGTAATATAGAAATGCCTTGTTTTTGATAATGTAAAGCAGTAAGTCCCTTGAAGGTTCCAGGGACAGTGAGCACATATCTGATTTAGGTCACTGTGCTTTGCAGAGATGAACTCTTCTAAGTTACTTTTATGGTACAGCCAATCACTGCCTTCTAAGTTACCTAATCTTCCAAGCTAATAGCTACAACTTACACAGGGTCAGAGCACAACAGATTTGGGAAGCAACATACACACTTAGTTGCAAATGAAAATACCAAAAGAGGAACGCCACAATCAGTTTTCAACGTTCTGCAATGTTAGTAAGAGACCACACTCTAAGGATGTATGGATGAGTGAGTACATATACACAGAGTATAAATTTTCAGCAATATGCTCAGGTAGAGACAGCCCTTTCACTTCATTTCAGGAACGATCCAAAGACGCTTCCATTTGAAAAGAGCTTTGCCTGTTTAATATTACTAAATATGCCAACTTACATGCAACTATATTAATAACCTCATGAATACATCGTATCACTGCTTCTAATCATCATTTTAACCAAAACTTAAGTACTCATATGAACAACATGAGAAAAAAAAGTAACAAGCAGCACTCCTCTGATTTTTGGACTCAGGATGTCTTTACATGCTTACAAATCCTTCAAGACCTCAAAGGGCCTCCATTTATATGAGCTATGTCTCTATATTCACCATAACTGAAACCAGACTGAATGTTAAGATATTTCTTTAGAATCATTTAAAAAATACTAAAGTCATTGCATATTTACATAACATTTTAATGAGAAATAACTTTTCTTTTTCTCATCAGGGTCTCACTCTGTCACCCAGGGTGGAGTCCAGTGGCATGATCACAGCTCACTGAAGCCTTGACCTCCTGGGCTCAGGCAACCCTGTGCCTGGTGAACTTTTTTATTTGCATGTTATTTTTGAGCTATTACCACGTTTTGTATAATTTTTTTTAATTTGTGCATTACATTGCTATGCTGCCCAGGCTTGCCTCAAACTCCTAGGCGCAAGCAGTCCTCTCACCTTGGCCTCCCAAAATGCTGGGATTACAAAGCAGGAGCCACCTTACGCAATCAAAAAATAATTATTTTCTTTTTTGTTTGTTTTTGGGGGTTAGAAAATATAGTTTATTTGGAAAGTAAATTGGAGAGAGAGAGAGAGAGGATTTGCCTCCCCAAGGGAGGGGAGGGGGGCCACAGCTCAAAGAGCAACACTGCCACACCATAGCTTGGCAAGGCAACGGCCGGGCAATGGTCAAAAATAATTATTTTCAAGAACAAAGAAATGTAGTGAGAAGAATGACTGTTTTACATGTTTACAACTTCTTTAGCATCTAGCTTAATAGAAGACAACTTAATTCTCATATATCTATTAATACTTCAGTGGTCAATCTGATGTGATCTCTTCTTTCATGGAAGTGCATTTAAAAATCCAGATTCACAGATACTCTTGTTGGAAAGGAAGGACTGTTTAAATACCCTTTTCAGATAACTGTGGATATTTCTCTTTGATATTTCACCAAAGTCAAAAAGTAGTCATTTCCTTAAAGGTTAGTTGCTATGTGGAATCTGAAACTATTTCAAGTGAACTTTTCTATACACTGTTACATCGAAATCATTTGTCTACCATGTACCTTTAATGGTTCTCAACATTTTTGGAAAATATGTGTTCACTGGGTAGTAGAGCTTTTCCAAATGTCACATTTTATTATACAATACCAAAAATAAAAAAACAAATGTTAGTATCAACAACAACCTCATTAGTAAAGTCCAAGTACTGGGAAACTGTCAAAGTCAGGCTGGTGGCAGACACAAGTTTTCCAAAGTTCTAATTCTTGCGCAAGAACTTGAACTATTACCACTGGTAACAAGTACTATTAATTGCTTCTCTTGAAGTGACAAGCTCATTTCATTCATTTTTGAGGAAATATCTGTCAAATGTCCAAATTTGAATAACCAGTCTGTCAGTTCTTCGAGTAAAAATGGTGTTCTTTGAAAAAAACAGCTAGTTGAGTTCACAATTTAAGCAATCAAATCAGAGAGTGCTTTTTCTCCAAACAACCACTATATTTGGGTATGTAGCAGAAGTGTTTTTATGAATGCTTCCTATTTTGTCATTCAGCATATTAAATCAACGCACAAAGCCTGGGATGTAATAAAATAAGTAGTTTTCACTGCTTCATCAAGGACAGTCTTAAGTGAAAATTTCATTGTATTATTTTTACACTGAGAGTGCCTACTAGTCCCGTTCGGTGCCTCTGCCCTGCTTTACACTAAGGTACCAGCAGTCTTCCTTACCACTGCTTTGGCATCATCAGGATAAATTTAAATACAGTGAAAAGACAAATAATGTCTGTATCCTTATGGAAAGTTTGGACTTTGCAGACCCCCTGAAAGGATCTCAGGGACGCCTGGTCCATGAGATAGTACTTTGCAAACTACTGCAAAGAGTACAGGTTTTAAATAAGGATTGCAGAGTTGTGGGTTATTCTTATTTTCTCTATATTGTTTGTTCAGTGAATATTTGAATGTGTATAAAAAGACAGAATCAAGATTTAAAAGTATTATTCTGTTATTCTGGGTTTCTAGACAATACATATACTGAGTGTCTATTGCTTGCCAGAACTATGCTAAATATCATCATATATAACATATAGCACTTAATCCTCAAACATTTCATTCAATCCTCTCAACTCTAACTAAAGGTCAAAGAGGTTAAACAACTTAGCCAAAGACCCAGAGCTAGTAAGCGGTGGGTTTAGAATTCAAATCCAGTCTTTCTCAGTCCATGCTTTTCCTCACTCCAATGATGTTTAACAAAATTCAAGGAAAAAATATTTCCAAATATAGCTGTTTAAAACAAAATTCTAATTGAATGTGAATAAAGTCAACTGTTTGCCAGATTCATATAAAACATAATCTAAATTAAGTTTAAAAAATACGTGGTGCCAAATTCAATATTTTAACAATAACAAAAAAATTTAACAGAATACTTTGTTTCAATCCCTTACAACTCTATATGAGACTGCAGGTAGCAGGTAACAGACATGCCATACCCTTCAAGTACAATTAAAACTTCTAAGGTTCATTCAACTTCTTTACAAGAATTAGAAACCCGATAACATCAACAGTTACAATGACACATATAAGCATACTTTTGAAATCTTCACCCTTTCTATAACATATACTTGGCAAATGAACATGAATCTGATGAAGCAAAGAGGAGCAAGAAACATGTCATTCATTGATTTTTTAAAATTCTCCACATAAGGGCCAGAATGAAGAGTATCTGCAAACAATCAGATTCAATATCAATTTCTAAAATGACCTCTGAAAATTTACTTCCTGTGGAAAATCTTGGCCCTCCCCAGCAGTGCTTAAGAGCTTAACCTCCTGGTCAGGCACCTGTCTGCTGGTCCCTCCTCCCTGACTGGATTATAAAAACTGTAAGCACAGGGATTTGGGTGGGAGGAAGAAAGGAAGGGAAGATTAAGCCACTCGAGAGGGAAAAGAAGAAACCAGGAGTGTGTATACACACGTTTTAATTTCCATATTGCAAAACAAAATGTCACTCATCAAAATACAAATGATCCACTTTGCCGACGTTTCCTACTGTAACACTGGCACAGACACCACTAAACCAACATTCAAATAAAACTTCAAAAATCAGATTTTGCAGATTAAACAGAAAGGTAAGTTAAGTTTTAGTTTACTACTTTCTTTGACAAATTTTTTTTAAAACACATAAATTCAGAGATTTTAATCAATAGACCTTCATGTGGCTAGTTCTTTAAAGAATGTTTTTCAGTTTAATTTCAGTGAGAGAGAAAGAGAGAGAGAGAGAGAGAGAGAGAGAGAGAATGATTCTTTCTAAATGCCCGGCCCATGAGGGTCCATGTTTCTCTTTATCTGACAGAAAAGGGGGAATATGCTAAGTGCACAATTTTAATGACAAAATGTTTTAAATTTGTCCATTATATTTTCATAAACTCTTTCTCTGGGAAGAACACTCTCCTTTAGTTTATTGCTATTGCACACAGATATACACTATAGTTGTTACTAACTTTTATGATATCAAAAGAAAAACAGATACCACTTGTTAAAATTCCTGAATGAGCAGGGCTCAGTGGCTCAGCCTGTAATCCCAGCGCTTTGGGAGGCCGAGGTGAGTGGACTGCCTGAGCTGCGGTTCGAGACCTGCCCGGGCAACTTGATGAGACCTCATCTCTATAATAAATTTTTAAAAATTAGCCAGGCGTGGTAGCGCGCGCCCATAGTTCCAGCTACTTGGGAGACTGAGGCGGAAGGATCGCCGGAGCCCGGCAGGTCAAGGCTATGGTGGCCGAGAGCAGCCACTGCACTCCAGTCTGGGTGACAGAGTGAGACTCCAACTCAAAAAATAAAATAAAATAAAATAAAATTCCTGAATGCTTTTATATATTGTCACACTAAACCAATTCTAGGAGCAAATATATGAAAGGAGAAACATGAAGCACAGAAAAGTTAAATAATTTTCCCAAGGTCCCACAGATTGGGTTTAGGTAAGACACAATTTAAAATCATGTCCTGCCTCCAGGGGCAATGCGTTTAGGTAAGACACAATTTAAAATCATGTCCTGCCTCCAGGGGCAATGCACTTGTCACTGGGTCACTTCCAAACATTATTTTTAATTCTCGCAAGAACTCCACGAGGTAACACGGCTGATCACAACTCAAAACCAGGGCTATGTGATTTCTAAGCTCATGGTCATTCCACAGGCCACATACCTTCCCCTGAGGAAAACTACCCACAACTTTATTTGCTCATATGCTTTATTTAGGGAATTTCTAAGTAAAACATATTCAATCACAAAAATTTTCAGTTAATTATCTCTAAATACTTTATGAGCAATTCAGTAACAGCCAGTAAAATTGAAATTACTGCCATAAGAAGCAAAATACAGTAACACATTAAAACAGCATCAATAGTATAACAAACATACGGAGAGTGCACTCTGCTTTTACTTCCACAGATAAATTTAGAGCAAACAGCCAAGAAAAGAGGAAGAAAAAACCCCTGTA